CCAAACTCAAAAAAAAATACCCAAGTAAAGAAGCTTCCTTTCTACACGCTTGACGATTGCTCCTGGCTTGGTGTTTCCCTGCCGCAGACGCAACCACCGACAGCTCTGCCAACACCAACACTGGATTCGGAGAGAAGCGCAAATCTGGAAGATTTTTCTGTAATATTACTCTGGTTAGGTTAATCTGGCAAATAGGTGGCGTTTTTATTTTAACCAGACAAGGCGGCGCTGAGAGACAATCTAACGATCCTGCGAGAAGAAAGCAGTAGCAGAAATGTAGCTTTAGTAAGCAAAAAAATCCTACTTTCACCCAAGGAACATGAACTAACCACAGGATAAGGTGTGCCTTCTCACTTCCCTCCTCCCTCCCATTTATTCACATGCGTTTCTACCAAACCATCCTAAAATTATTCTTTAAGTAAACACCTCAGAGAGACGCCAAAGGGAGACAAAAAGGACAGATGCCTGCGGTGGAACGTCTTCAAGAGGGGCCTCTGACCTGCGGCTATTTAAGAGCCAGGAATAGAAAAGGACTTTTCAAATCCATAGCCTCGACCCAATCCATGCAGGAAAGGAGCTTTGGCTCTCCATGAACACATCCTAAGCCACTGAAAAGACACGCAGCTCGCTCACTGCCCCGTGAAGCTTTGTTTTCACATGGGCAATCGTGAGAAGGAGCGACAGATTTCCCTAAGCTGAGTTGGAATAATTGGAGCTCCAAGGGAGCCGGGGCAGATCAGCACTTCTTGCTTTTAAATCGCATCTAAACCCGGCTGCCGTAGGCTGCTGAGGCAGCAGTGTCTCCCGCAGAGCGGCGCGAGCTGCAGCAAGGTGGTTTCTGAGAAAGGAGCACAAATTCTGCCCCACCGAGTTACTGAACGAACGCTCGCCTGGCTTTACGAGGGGAATAATTCAAACAAACAAATGAGTACCAATGCTTTCTAATGATTTTAGGCCAGTTTGTACAGCAAACGTTTCTGAGGACTGGGAGAATCATTCCCAGCTGTTGACCCCAACGCTGATGCCAGTAAAGAGGCTGCTAAAAACCTGAACTGTGCTGCAACGATGCTGCTTGCTCCCGTTTCAGCCACAAGCCTGAACGCTGGTCACATCAGGAGGAATCCAATTTTGGGCCCAAAGAGGTGTTTGGCAGCTTTTTTTCTTGATAGAGGCGAGAGCCTAACAGCAGTAGGTGTGAAAAAACCAGCAACAAACTCGCTCCGGTGGGGCGACAAGCGTCAGGACCCACTATGGTCTCCTTCAGGTATTGATTTTAAATGTTTCTCAGCGCTTCTCCTACCTTCATTTGGGGCAAAATGTATTCAAACACCGTCCCCGCTAGACAGCTCACTTGGCAGGCTCCTCCTGCATCGCACCGGATTTACAGCTTTGCCAACGCAGGCGGAAAGCGTTCCCGAGTAAGGTCAGGGA